CTATACCGCTGATAGGTGGCGGCGCGTTTGCGAGCCAGGACCTCAGCAGCAGGGCCGTCATCAGGCACGAAGTGCCGACCAAACGCCGCATCCTCAAGAGGCATCGAGCGCTGAGCAATGATGTCCGCGAGATACCAGATGAAGCGGAGGGTGTCAGGATGCAGGGTACCGTCCGTCGAGATGGCAAGAGATAGCGGATTTACTGGCAGAAGGTAAAAAGTGCCTCAAGCAGAACAAAGCAGGAACAAGCTAAACCTCCAGGCACACAGCGCACAGCGAGAAGCTGCGAAGAGGGATGAACGCTCGAGGAGGAGGAGTCATAGCATATGCAGCGCGATGTTTGCGAATCTTCTCAGACGCTGCAACATGGAGGGCGTCGAGGTTGACCTCCCCCCACTTGGTCAGGTCGGCAGAGCTACCAATGTAAGGGTGGACCAACAAGCCTCGTACTGCTCGGACCCTCGATCGCGGATTCCAGGGATGTGGATATCGCCCTTCATCTTGCGGCCATGAGGATGGGAGGGTACCTGCCGTCGAGAACGAGGATCCCCCACTGTATCGATGACGCTCTGAAGACCAGCTTCGTTCAGCATCGACCGAATCGTACGAGTCACTAAGGTTGTCATGCGCCGTGGGAAGCTTGGAGGATCGGCGTTTGCAGGTCTGGAGATGATGTGCAGCAACGGAGGGATCGAGCTCGCGCTGACATCCATCACATTTCGTCGGACACTGGCAGATCGGCATGCCATGGAGATAGCAGTCGAGCATCTGAGCATAGCGGTGCGGGAAGGCCTTGAGGGGGTAGTAGCTCGAGACTCACATCGGAGAGTGGCTCAGGTCACGCTCAGGAAAATGAGCGAAGATGGTAGACTGCAAGACCCTATCCTGCGACTTGAGCGAGGTTATAGGATTTACTGGCAGAAGGTAAAAAGTGCCTCAAGCAAAGCGAGTGTGTCCTGCGGCTGTGCAAGGTGAGGATATCACGCTGCTGATCGGTCAGCGCAGCGCGAGCATGCACATGGCGAGGGAAGACGCGCATGACAAGAGGAGTCACATTTTGCTGCGCAGGGGGAGGAATGAAGTGCTCATGAGACGAGGTAGATATAGGATTTACTGGCAGAAGGTAAAAAGTGCCTCAAGCAAAACAAAGCAGGAACAAGCTGAACCGGCAGGCACACAGTCCACAGCGAGACGAGTCGACGAGAGCGCGCAAACCAGGGATGTGTACCACAGATGCCGGGGGGCGTCCTGCGTCATCAGGCACAGCAGCCGGGGCAGGTGCCAGTAAATCCTAAGTCCTCCGGATCGCCGCGCCATCTGCAGCCGGTGCAGGAGCCCTCACACGACGGTAGAGGATCGCAATCGCTCCAGCATTATGAACGAAGTATAGGATTTACTGGCAGAAGGTAAAAAGTGCCTCAAGCAAAACAAAGCAGGAACAAGCTGAACCGGCAGGCACACAGTCCACAGCGAGAAGCTGCACAATCACACACAAAACACAAGCCCGAAATCTTAACCAGCACTGCTGGCACCCAGACGCGGCAGCGCCAGCCCAAGCGCGAAGCCGCGCAGACAAGCAGCCTAAGGGCAAAGCAATCAAGCAACAAGCAGCAGGAGCATGCAGGAGGAATAAAATCCCTAACGTCCAGGCTATGAGGAGAGGTCAGCGTCCGGGACATGGGCTGGTCAGAGTACCAAGCGAGGAAGCGAGCGATAGCCGTATAGTAAACAGCGGGGTGTAGACCCTCAGAGGGCGTGAACTCGTCCCCTCCCCGACTATGCGGAAGCTCCCGCTTGAACCTCGCAAACTCTAGCAGGTCGGGATGCGCGGCGAGGTACTGCGAGGAAGGCCAGCGGTGGTATTTCTCAAGCGCCAGGTGGACAGAGAGGTCAAGCTTCTGGAGATGGAGCCGCGTCTTGAACATGAAGCCATGCTGGACGAGCCCGAGCTTCGAGAGCTCTTCGTTGAGGTTAGAAACCTTCGCTCGGAGCTCACTAGCATGAAATCCATCCGTGCCGATAGGCAGGCCGCCAAGTGTAATCCCGCCAGTGACGACCTCGAAGTGAAGAAGTTGAGTCTTGAGACGGCGCTTAAGGCTCTTCTTCAGCTGCGAGAGATCAGGGTGTTGATGCCAGGAGGGGATGTAAACTTTCGACTCGCGAGGTTGAATCTCTAGCTTCAGATCAGCTAACATGTACTTCTTCATAGCGGACGTAGCTGCAACGGCATCCTCGAGTGGACCGACAAGCACGACGTTGTCAGCATAGGCCAAGACTCGAACAGAGGGAAAAAGCTCTGCGATATGGAGGAGCAGGGGGTGGATACTGTGGCAGAAAAATACGCTGGAGGGGACATCGCCCTGACAGACGCCCGAGGTACACTGAACGGAGGCTGACTGACATACCGGGCAGTTTCCCACCGCTCCCGGCACCTCATTAGTAGTTCATCAATTGGGGTACCTTCTTTGATGGGGGTGGGCTGCCTGGTTTGAATTTTTGTACCAGAAATGATTTTTGAGTAATTACATAAAAGTTGTTTTTGAGAGATTTTAGGATGTATATATGGTACAAAAGCTCCTGGCAACCCCTCTGAATGACCCGGATCCTGAGCACCCCTC